TATTAGGTCGGGCCAAGATCAACTACATGCCTCGGCATATACTCGTTTCGGGGCCTTGGATTGAAAAGTTCGAAATGATCGGCGTGCTCGAAAATAATTCGGAATTCTGAAAAGGTGCATTTAAATGTAAATAAAACAGTACTTTATATTTCCTTATGAAACCTTGTAAGCAAAGCCCGTCGACAAATACTCGATGAGATTAGTGTTGAGTATCGAAAGAACTAAATGAAAAGCGTATGAGAGGTTGAATGCGAACAAATGATTCAAAACACGTTGATAATACTATTCTTACGGCGGGTCTAAATAAGATAATACTTTCTAATCTTTCCATAAAATACCCATGATAGCTAAATAAAGAAATAATCACTGTGTATTGCTAAACAATGGAAAAAATGATTAATAAAATATAAACAAAAAAATTGATCAACCGATCCCCAAAAACCTCTCAATTGTAAATACTAAATTCGAGTAATACTTCTCATCACGCAATAACTTAAGTATATCTCCTTACATAAAGGAAACCGCATTTTCTTTACTTTCTTCAATCGCGAGTTTTTTTTTTTTTTTTTTTCATATTTAGCACACCGATGGGCGATAACCCATTTTTTGCCGGTGCTAATCATCAGGATTAACATGTATTTTTTTTGCTAAACATCATGATTTAAATGTTCGAGCTAGCTTTTACAACTTGGTTGTTATCAGTGAATAGTCGAATACGAGCCGCGCTTTGCTTCGCAAACATCTCTCGAATCCCGAGCACGAGATTGTCCGCTCCCCATCGCTAGGAACGCTTGGGCCGGGCCGAACGAGAGCTCTAGAAGAACCCACTCCCACGATGGTTTTGGAGAAACCCTTCGATGAAGCTGAAGAAAATGTTCGACGGCGGTGGGAGCTGCAAAGAAGTAGTGAGTTGGGTCGCTTATAGTGAAGTGTTCGATGGTAGTGACGGCGGTGCCGGGAAAACGTGCACGGAGACCGGCCCACCTTTTGTTGGTAAGGTATTGCCGGACCCGGAACTTTGCAAAGGCAATTGGAGAAGACAGATTGAGCTTCGCCGGCCACCCTCGCCGGCCAGATCTACCCTCGCCGATGAAGAAGATAAACAGTAATAGGGGCAAAACAGGAATATTAAAACTAAAAATTGCCAAAGCTCTTTGCAAAAAAAAATTTATCAAACACTACTTAGGCCAAAGCAGCTTCACAAATTTTTTTTTACCAAACACCACTTACATTTACCCAAGTGACTTTTACCTAAAAGTATTTGCATTCCCCCAAGTTGCATTTGAAAAACCGAATCAAACGGGCCCTAAGTACAGGCGCCAAGGAGCATCATGGAGGGTCGTTCGAGAATGGCAATGGTGGAGGACGGCGCATGGAGGACTGGCTAGCATCTCCTGATCAATTTTTCAACCTGACTGACCTCATGGTGATCATGTAGAAAACTGCAAAAATTGTGCATCCGGTGACATGTTTAATCAGACAAAGGATATAGATGATTTATGAATATTGGTCTAACATGCAATGTGATTCTTAAAATTTTAATTTGTTCAATATAATCCATGAATTTTATAACATTGAATATTTTCATATAGTATTGAATAATATTTGAGGATGAAATTACATATTAAATTAAAGTTGATGAATCATATTAAATAAATTAAAAGTTTAGGAATTATATTATATATTGGACCAAAAATTCATGACCGTGTCATTATCCCTCGTATAACAATATGGGGAAATTTTTAAATAGGGGCCCAAAGTGCCATTGTTTTATCAAAAGAGGACCCGAAGTGAACTTTATATTAAAAAACAAGTAGTCATTTTGTCAAAGGGGCTCATTTGGTGAATATATGCATCTCCGTTCATATTAAACTGGTCCGTGAGTATTTTTGTCAAAGGCGTTTTAACTTTTTTTTCACTCTTGTTTCGTGAATATATGCATCTCCCGTTCGTATTCCGGCTGCCGATCAAGGGTATTTTCATCAAAGGCGTTTTAATTTTTTTTTTTCACTCTTATTCCTGTTCATCATCTTCTCTTCGTTTAACCAGAAAAAAAAAATCTTCTTCTTCGTTAAGCATTAGATTAACGTCGTCCAAATCGAGGCGCTAGAGGGAGGCCAGTTCAAGGGCAGAGGGGGAGCCGGAGAAGCCGTCAAGCCGGGAGCGACGGTGGGAGGAGGGGACGAGGAAGGCGACGTGGGCGTCCCCGGTCGCAGTCCTGGCAGAGGACGAGGTTGTCGGTGGAGCAGCGGGCGGAGGCGCAATTGTCGCAGATCTGGGAGCGGAGGTGCTCGCGAGGGAGGAGGTCGGCGGAGTGGAACTTGGTGGTCGCAGAGAAGGCAGAGTTTGGCCGCCTCGCTTCCATACTTTTCTTTCTTTTTTTGCTTTTCTTTTCTTCCCCTATACTCATCTTCTTCTCCATGGATCTTCTTCCTCCCCAATTTTGCTTCGCCATGGTACTGTCGGGGAGCATTCTCCCCGGTGCGACCTCGGATTCAACCACTTCACAAACAAACACCATGGCTGTCTCTTACATTCGCGCTCGCGCTGAAACCTCCGCTTAATTCAGAATTTTTCGCGTGAAGGATGAGTGATGATGTACACGCAAAACACTTCGAAAAAGAGAGAGATGTCGTATTTTGCGTTCTTCATGTGCCTATTTGAAACAATCCCAGCAATCCTTACCCAAAAATTGATGAGCCCCAATTTCGCCTTTCATCTCGCGGAAACTTCTCTCTCGTTTGCTACTCATACGTACGCCATAGTTGTAGGTAAATTTCTCTGAGAACACAGAAAATGGTGTGCCCCAATTCCGGTGTTCTTCATCTGGGCAATGCCTGTCTTCAACATTGACGAAGAAGATGACGAACAGGGACACCATGGCTCGGATCCAGAAGAAGTTGAACAAGGTGAAAAAAGAGAGAGAAAAAAAATGTCTTAGGACGAAAATACCCCTGATAGGCTGCCGGAATACAAACGGGAGATGCATTTGTTTGCGGGTCGGCGAGTCAGGTCCTTATTTGAGACAAAATGATTATTTCGGATCTTTATTTGAGATTAAATGACTATTTTAAATTTTTATTTAAAATAAATTTCATTTCGACTCCTCTTTGAAAAACGATGACATTTCGTGCCCTATTCCGGATTTTTCCCTAACGATCTGATTTTCATGGGAAGATGATGAACTTTCGAAAAATCACCAAAAACCCCAAACTCATTACATTTACCCTCGAACTTTTTTGGACAAATGAACTTTCTTTTTAGACACATTTACCCAATGTATTTAGTCCATGGCATTTTCGCTTTTTGCTTTTCTTTTTTTCTTTTTTTTTCCTTTCCGCGAGGGGGCCCTCGGCTGCGAGCGAGAGCGGCCCTCGCCGATCCGGCGAGGGCGGCCGCCGCTCGACCCAGCAGGTCGACCCGCTCGCCGCCTGCCGGCGGAGGGTCGCCCGCCGCCTGGGCGAGGCCGCCCTCGCCGCCGCGAGGCGACCCGCCGCCGCCCGCCGGCGAGGTCGACCGCCCGATCGCCGAGGGCCGCCCGCCGCCCGCCGAGGGCGACCGCCGCCGGCCGAGGTCCGCCTCGCTCGCTCGGCGAGCGAGGCGCCGCCGCCGCACGGCGCCGCCTCGCTCGGCGAGCCGCCGCGCCGATCTAGCGAGGTGGACCACGCGCACGCCGCGAAAAATATTTTGCTAGCCGAAAGGCTTTTTCATATTGGTCGCAGAGGCACCGGAAAATTATGTTCGAGGGCAAACATTTCGGAAAATGAGCCCTCACGGAAAATATTTTGAAAAAAAAAAAAAAAAGAAAGACAAACGAATACCCATTGACTAAATACATTTTGAATTTTATTTAAAACAAAGTTAATTTCGGATCCTCTTTTGAAAAAATGATAACACTTGACGTCACTATTTGGAATTTTTCCTAACGATCTGATTTTCATGGGAAGATGATGAAACTTTTCCATGCTTTTGTGATCCTCACGGTGAAGGAGACTGCAAAAGTAGGGTCCACTGCCACGTGGAAGCGCATGGCACGACCTTTATCCACTTTCCCTCCTCGTCTCGTTACGATTACAGCAAGAAGAACAATAGTTAATACCAACCAGTGCAACCACATTATCTCCCGAAATAAAAGGAATTTCTATTTTCCCTTCCTAATACTTTTCACATTCTTTTTTTTTTTTATCAAGTTCATGAATTTCTAAGAATTTATTTTTTAAGATATCCAACAAAACCCTTCTACTTCCACAAATTTTTCTAATTAAGTCCATTCAGCAAACATGACTGTCAAACTGCATTAAAATATGATGCGGATTAAATCTAAAAATGCCTACAAGGATGAGGATTTATATGGAAAATTTCAACTAATATAGATAATGCCGAAGTGTATTAAGGGTAAATTCAGCCAATGTGGATAAATTTTTTCCAATGTGGACATCACACGTCAGATAAATTTCATCCTCGTCAATGACGACGTTGTTCGATATATCACCACAGCTGGACCTTGCTGGATTTAGCATACGAGGGACTTGATTTGGAAAATTTATGGAAAAGGAAAATTGGACAACTAAAAAATGGGAAAGTAACACAAATGGTTCATAAACTTTGATCAAATGTGTAATGTAGTTCATGAATTTTTAATTTGTTTAATGTGGTTCCTAAATTTTAGTCTAATGTGTAATTTAGTCCTTGAACTTTTAATTTGTTCAATGTGATTCCTGAAATTTTGATACATGTTCAGTTTAGCCCCTAAACTTTAGCCTAGTGCTGTCTCTGATCTTGAAAAAAAACGAAAGAACGATATTGAATATCTGCATATAGTTCGGCGATTACATTGAACATATATCAAAAGTTCATGGATCACATTGAATAAATTAAATATTCAGATGCCATATTGCACATTAGATCTAAATTTGGAGATCATTTGTGCTATTATATTTGGGTGAAAATGGCAAAAACGCAAAAATTGAAGTGAAAATAGAATTAAAAGGGTAAAAAAGAAAGAGGAGAGAAACTACTCCGACAGACAGACACAGTCAACTTTTCTCTCTCCTTCCTCCTCCTCCTCCTTCTTCAGTCAAGGACACCGCGCTCGAATCCTTCCCTGCCTCCCCAACAGAAAACGAGAATCAAGATCAGTCCTTTACCTTCTCCGCCGGAGACCCGACCGATCCCGGCGCCATGTACCTCCCCGACAAGCCCCACCCCGGTCCCACGGATTTGTCGGACCGAGAAATGATGCTCCAGGTGGTCACCAGCGACCCTCTCTCCCACCACCCCGCCCACCACCACCCCCACCACCACCACCCTCACCAGCAGCAGCAGCAGCAGCAGCAGATGATCCTCGCCGACAGCAGCGGCGGCGAGGACCCGGAGCCCGAGCCCGGGCCGGAGCTCCTCCGGGCGACCAAGAAGCGGGCCGAGACGTGGGTCACCGAGGAGACGAGGAGCCTGATCGGGTTCCGCCGGGAGGTGGACGGGATGTTCAACACGTCCAAGTCGAACAAGCACCTGTGGGAGCAGATCTCCTCCAAGATGAGGGAGAAGGGCTTCGACCGCTCGCCCACCATGTGCACCGACAAGTGGCGCAACCTGCTCAAGGAGTTCAAGAAGGCGAGGCACAGCCAACAGCAGGAGCAGCAGCAGCAGCAGAGCGACAAGGGCGGTGCCGGGTCGGCGAAGATGACGTATTACAAGGAGCTGGAGGAGCTGCTCAGAGATAGGAATAGGAACGGGGGCGGCGGCGGCGGCGGCGGTTGCTGCGGCGGGGCCGGAGGAGTCTTTGGGGGGTCTGCTCCGACGCCGCCTAAAGTCGACCCTTTCATCCAGTTCTCCGACAAAGGTGTGCATATCGAAATGCCAAGTGTTTTTGTATGCCATGCTCCGTTTATTTCTATGTTTGGAATTAGAATAACATTTTATTTGGCTGTGGGAGGAGGGGCACATGAAAATAGCAGTTCAACTGTTTGCCAAACGGCCAAAGGGCGTTGATGCTCCGCATTTTGTGTTTCATAGCCTATTTTGTTGACTTTAGCGTTTTGGTTTATTAGTGAGAGGTGTTTGAATTGCAAGAACCTGTGATATTTTTCTTTTGAGCTTCTACTCTTGTTGTGCTAGTCAAATGTGATCGCAAGGACGAGAACTTATGACTGTTTCAGTTGACGTTTCAGGTTTCGATGATTCCGGCATCCAATTCGGACCCGTGGAAGGTACTTCCTGCCAAATCTTGAGAATGTGAAGCAGTGTTTTGTTCCCATTATTTTGTTTTCTTCATAGGCATGCAAAAATTTAGATTTGAATTGCCCATGTGCGGTATGGATCAAGTCGTAGATAATTAGTCAAACATTTGTGGAAACTTGTTGAGAGTGGAATATGAGGTTGAGAACTGATGAAGGGACTTCATCGGACACTAGGTGGGCTCGACCGGACTTCCCTTGAGTATGCCATTATTCAGAACAGGCTATTTTATAGATTAAAGGAATGCACAGAATGTCCATGGAAGCCTGTGTTTCTCAATACGAGGCAGGTTTAAACAGTGTCCGCAAGATTTGTATCCTCTCGGTAATTGTCTTATTGGACACAAAATTGATTATCTAGCCTGCTATTGAATTGGGTCGGGAAAAGTACCTCTCCTGTTCTTGTTCCTTACATTTCGCTATTACTCAGCCATGAAGGTGAAACTTCTTATGATGCTATGAAGAACCTGGATCATTATCGCTTTATGTTGCTTGTATGGTAGGCTATATTTGCAAAGCTTGCTGTACATTACTTCTTGCACTTTATCTAAATTTCTCCGACGATTAATTGCTTACAGCTAGTGGACAGACAACCGTCAACATGGACAGGCAGTTAGATCAAGATGGTGATCCTCTTGCTATAACTACTGCTGATGCGGTGGAAGCCAGTGGAGTTCCTCCTTGGAACTGGAGAGATGCCCCTGGAAATGGTAGGCATCTAAAATTCTTACCGGAAGTTCACATTTACTATGTGTCATTGATCTCCCGGAAAGTGCAGTTATTGAGTATTGTAGTTGGTTTAATTTCTAGAAATAAGGTGTTTGTTGGTGAAAAACACTTTGATCGAACAAGTAGCTGTAATTCTGCATGCGGCTTTCTACATTGTGTTTATATTTTAAAGTCAGTGCTTAGACACGATCATTTGCGAGAGTTCGTGCACATCATCTGGTTAATCATTGATCTGTGGTGTGGACTATAAGTCCAAATGTCACAAGTTATGGTAATCATATGGGGCAGCAACTCAAAAGTCCTGATAAGTTTTATTTCCAGATCTGGTTTGATGCAGTTTATACCAATACACTCCAATTTCCCACTAACATCGGGAAACGATTTGTCTGAAAAGGATTTATCATTTTGTCAATGAATAAAGAAGTTCTTTTTTTGCACATCTCTTGATAATTCCAATATGAGTTGAAGATTGTGACAGCTTGCATTAGGCATCAAAGTGCAGATTAAGATATTAGATGTTTGTGGCACTTTGTTCGATAGGATGTAGGTGTAGCCTGCAGATGACAGCCAGGACTGATTCTCAAAGGAAATTGGATATCTTCCACCACAGCTCTTTTTCCTGAAACCTTAGCTAAAAGTACCTTTTCACTGGTACTGCATGTATTCTTTCAGTTCTGACAACCTTTTTCATGTTTTAAAATTTAAGAAACACCATATGTACTTGTTCTACAGCTGTTTTGATATTATTAAATTTTAATGCCCAAAGTTAGCTTCTTGTAATTTATCATGTACCATAAACAATTGACAGTAGAGCTAGTGACTTGTGTTGTATTTCGTGTCTTGGCAATGTTAAAGGGAAAATGGCCTGACTTGGTGATTGAAAAGTAACCCATAATTGGATGTGTTAACTTGTCTTCTGTGTCTGATCATTTAGCACTTTTAATGTCAGTTATGGCAGGAGGGGACCAGTCATCATATGGAGGGAGAGTTATTACGGTCAAGTTGGGCGACTATGTGAGAAGGGTGGGTATCGATGGAAGTGGAGACGCAATCAAAGAGGCAATCAAGTCGGCGTTCAGATTAAGAACTAAGCGGGCGTTTTGGCTGGAGGATGAGAACCAGGTTATTCGGAGCCTCGATAGAGATATGCCTATAGGAAATTACACCCTCCAACTTGATGAAGGTATTTTATAACTTCAACACCTCAGATCACTGGTGTTTGATTATTAGCCGATTATTTGAGTACTTGATAGTGATTTGCACAATATGATGAAGAAGTTGTGACTTTGGCAGGGATCACCATAAAAGTCTGCATGTATGATGGATCTGATCGGATAGAAGAAAAAACACTATACACTGAAGAGGATTTCCATGATTTTCTCACACGCAGTGGTTGGATAGGTTTAAGAGAAGTAAATGGCTACGGGAGCATTAGTAGTATCGAAGATCTGCACTCTGGTGTGATGTATGAGGGAGTCAGAATTCTGGGGGATTAGTAATTTGTAAATTTCCTTACTCGTAGATCGTCAAGCTGCTACTGTATTTTTTCTGCAGTGGCAATACACCAATTTCGTCACTAATTTTGTAGGAGCCAAGCAATGCAAGAGATTATGAACAGATGTATCTAGTATCTACTTGGTCATTGTATGTTCTCCAAAATGTTAGATACTGTATAGTTGGTGTCGACTTTGTCGCAATTGTGGATAGAAAATCTGTTACCCTCAGCAATATTATGGAGTGTGCTTCTGACTTTTCATGTTTTTCTGGTCATTTTGGTCCTACTTCTGTCGGGGGAGAAAAGTTTAAACAAATTAAAAGTACTCGACAATGAAACCTTCTATCCTCTGTGTTGGTGTTAGCAGAAAATATATATGAGGAAGTCTCCTGCTGCCGCTGTTTGTGTCTCTCATTTATCTCATATTGTTGGGCACATAACCATTTCAGCCTGTACTGTTTTTGGTTCAAAATCTGCAATAGCACTCCTGGATGGCAATGATGTACTGCTAGACATTGGTTGATCAGTTATGACATACAAAACAAAATGTCTTCATGTCTGCATCACTCTGGTTAGGCCACTCACTTTCAGCATTAGCATTCAAGAAAACAATGCCAAAAGGTGATGAAGAACAATGGGGTCCTGGTGATCTTTCAGGTGATCTTCGAAATGCCTAACATTGCTTGTGTAAAGAATGCAAAGATGACGATGCAAAGCATGACTTCTTCCGTTATGTCATCCTTCTTTTGGAGTTGGCATGGTTAAAGCCACCCATCATGATGTGTGAGTACCTTGTCTTTTCTGCAGTTATTTCCCTTTTCTTGTTAACTTTGTGTGCAGGGGGTATCACATTGGTGGATCCAACACCTAATCTATGTGTTTCACACTCATGCGCATGGCATTGGTGTTTTTCTTCGTATTGGGAAGTGGAGATGCCATATTTGGCCATTGTGTTGTTCTGTTTTCATTGGAGTGTGTGTAGCAATCTGAAAAAATCTCCTTTTGCTGACAAGGTCATCGAAAAGACAGTTTCTTGGAGCAATGTACCTTGCTTTTCTAGGTTGGCAATGTTCACCACTGAATAATTATGGGACTATCAAATTCTCTGTGTATACAAAATGTGGGGGAAAACAAGTCTCTGTGCTTAAGGAAAAATAGGAATCATCTTCAGGTAAAATTATAAAGGCAAGAAAACAAGTAAACAGGAGGAGGTAAATGACTAAATAGAGTGGATGACGAGCATGGTTAATGTTGCAAAAAGGGAAAAAGAAAATGTTATTTTATCCTAAATTATGCCCACCACATCACCCATATCCCAAATTTTTTATCGTGTTTTTTTACACCGCTACAAATTTGGGTTATTGACGACAAGAAAGAAAGTTTGGAGTAATAATGTTATGCTGAGCAAAGTTTAGGATCTTTTGTGGTGGCAGAGTGTCTTTTAGTTACATCAGTACAAGTTTCGGATTTTGACAACACAAAAAAAAAATCGAGGTATTATTTCATAATACGCATAATTTAGAGTTTTTAGTGATATTTTCTAAAAGGAAAAGGAAAAACAAAACTTGGGCTCAAGGGATCAATTGGATTGTGGGGCACATATATTGAAAAGGGGAGAAGGACAGACCTAAGAAGAAAGAACCTTGAGAAACTCAATGGGAATATGATTTGTCGTCCTTTTGTACCATGTTCTGTCATTGGAGACTTTTGGGGGCATGGGCATATCCAGAATTCCTTATCAATGGAGCCCCATTCCTGGTTCCATCATCAACAGAATCGCACCCAATCAAACAACCTAATCTAATTTCACATCTTATATATATATAATAAAATGGTGATTAACCCAACTTAGATACACCTTATACACGATTCAATTAAAGATATAAATCATCTCTTTTGCATAACCAACTCCATCGAGATCGAAAGGCGAAACAGCAAATGCCGACACACGACTGGCTCATACGGATACCACTATCAATTGATTTTTCGGAACGTCTCGCTTTTCGTTCGTTTCCCATTAACATCGAATTGTTTTCTTTAACAAATATAAGGTGTCGGGTCGATTTAAAAATATAGACAAAAAAAGGGTGGATTTTACTATCAATCTCGCATCTGACAATTACATGAAGTCGTTCATATACATATATATATATCATCTTATGGATTTTTACGTGCCCAATTAAACTGAGAATCTAAACGGTTCCGATGTCACGTATACTTCACAACATCGCGATCGTTCTCCTTTGCCATTTTTGGCATCATGCACGTGATCTTTGGCCACACTGTTTTTTGTTTTTTTTTTTATCTCCTCGTGCGGCCACGTCATCCCCTTCACGCACATCATCTGACCAGGCAACGCAAAACACTCTGTCTCTCTCTCGTAGTCCGTGATTGATTTGACGGCCCCACTTCCATTTCGCCTCGACAAATCCGCCCCTCCCTCCTCCCCCTCCAATTTATAAACACCCCCTCCTTCCTCCTCCCTCCCTCCCCTCCGCCCTCTCGCGTTCGCAACCGCCACCTTCTGCTCCTTCCTTCCTTCTTCTTCATCATCATCTGCGCCGCCATTTCCGTCCGTCTCCGGCAGCGCTCCCGATTCCGCAATGGGGAAGGTCAAGATCGGCATCAACGGTGCGTGCCAATCGTCTCGTCTTTTCTCTCTCTGTTTTCTGGCTTTGATCTCTCTCTCTCTCGCGCGCGCGCCCGCGCGCCCCTCCGCCCCCGCCGCTGTCGTTGTCTGATCGCTCCGTCGTTTTCTCCGGTTGCGAAGGTTTCGGCAGGATCGGCCGATTGGTGGCCAGGGTGGCGCTCCAGAGGGACGACGTCGAGCTCGTCGCCGTCAACGACCCCTTCATCACCACCGACTACATGGTACTCTCGCTTCTCTCTCGCGACTGCGTGTGCCTGCGTGTTCCTGCGTGTTGTGCTGCGTCGCGATGCTGCTACATTGGGCCGATGGTTCGCTCTCGAGAGTAGTTTTGAGATCGGTCGGTTTCAAGCGATGTCCGTATCGAAGTAAGAAATAGAAAAAAAGCGTTGCAGTGCAGAATGTTCTACAAATCAGAAAAGATCTCCGAATCATCAACTCGTGGATGCTCTGCCTGATATATCATCTTCATGCTGATTTGTTGAACATTCTGCGCTGCAACCATTCTGATTTTTTGCTTCTTTTTTTATTTGTTACTTGAATAGTCTGGTGCCTCTTGTGTTAGATGTCTGATCTGAGGCCGGAGTGGCCTGCAAAGGAGTCGTGTTCCTTTCGTCCGGTTTAGTGTGATCTCCGGTTAGCGATAGGCTGAATCTGTCAAGCCGAGGCTTCTGCTAGATTTTGTGCTGTCCTATTAAGTTTGGTCGGAAACTGTCTTGGTTGACTCTACTGGACTGTGATGAGACCTTGTGCAGAGCATTTCTATTGTCTAGTTACTCATAGGACGGAATTAGGGAAGCTAGTGGAGAATTTCGGAACTCACCATTACATAAGCGAGGTAGATTGTGATGAAAGATCACCGGCCGTGGAGTAAACTGCCATCTGGTGAAACTTTTAGTTGTGGAACTTTAGAAGAAGAATCCCGTCTCCTGTGCTGCTTGTGTGCAACATGATTGTAGCATATGACCATGCTTTGGAAATCAGCATCTGCTTACCGGTGATGTTGTGTGGAATTATGCAGACCTATATGTTCAAGTACGACAGTGTTCATGGTCAATGGAAGCACCACGATATCAAGGTCCAGGACTCTAACACCCTTCTCTTTGGCGAGAAGCCAGTCACCGTCTTTGGTGTTAGGTAAACTCGCACCCTTAGTTTTGTTTTCTTAGCTTTCAGTTGTGATCTTTATCCCTCGTTGGATTCTTAAGCAAGTGGGATATCTAACGGTTGATATCATTTCATCAGAAACCCTGAGGAGATCCCGTGGGGTGAGACCGGGGCTGAATTCATTGTTGAATCCACTGGAGTTTTCACCGATAAGGACAAAGCTGCTACTCACTTGAAGGTTTGTTGTCTGCTCCTCTTTTAATATAAAGCATCTGGCCTGTTGATGAAGTTAAAAGTACATCATAGTTTAGTTTAATGGTATGATTGGTAAGGTGCTTCTCAGATGATCTTCTTCAAATTGTAACGGCTGTTTTGCTTAAATTCATTTCCAATATGTCGGTTTTACTGGCATGTTAACTTTTTAAGAAAAGAACATTGGCCAGCACTTTTTGTCTGTCTCCCGTATTTGTTCAAGTTGAATTTGCAAAATAGCTTAGAAGGAGATTTTAGAATCTTTAGTTTTCTCTAAGCCATTCTCTTTTTTTAACCTGAGCAATCTTTGGCTGAACTTGTCAACACACTAGTTTATTGGGAAAATGACATGTTTTCATCCTTTTCTAAGTTCTAATTCGTAAACCTCGTCGAGAATAGATTTTAAACAGTGTTTGTTTTTGAAGTGGACACAGCTTCTTTACCTCTCGTCATGATAAACTCTTTGCATTCTCATGTTGCTGTACGATATGACTGATAGGGTGGTGCCAAGAAGGTTGTCATTTCTGCCCCTAGCAAGGATGCTCCCATGTTTGTTGTGGGTGTCAATGAGAAGGAATACACACCTGACCTTGACATTGTCTCCAATGCTAGCTGCACTACTAACTGCCTTGCTCCATTGGCCAAGGTACTTTGGTGTCTAACTTGGTCAAGGGGATTGTTATCTTTGTAAATTGAGTTGGTTTTCTTTTGACACTCTGTCATCTTTGACTTTTACCTGTTAGGTCATCAATGACAGATTTGGTATTGTTGAGGGTCTCATGACCACTGTCCATTCCATCACTGGTGAGTACTATCAGATTGCATTCATAAGTTGCTGAGCCATCAGTTTTGGTAGAATTGTGTGGAACGTTAATTGATATACCTCATGTGATGTAGCCACACAGAAGACTGTTGATGGACCATCAATGAAGGACTGGAGAGGTGGCAGAGCTGCTTCTTTTAACATTATCCCTAGCAGCACAGGTGCTGCCAAGGTACTAATAATCTGTGAATAATGAATACTTGTGCCCATCTCTTGGTTGCTCTGCTCAAGTGTACAATCCTGTTCTGTGGTAGTCAATGTATGTTTTTGTAAGGTTACTTGTTTACATCCATGTACCGGTTCTTTTTTTCAGGCTGTTGGGAAAGTGCTTCCCGCACTAAATGGGAAGTTGACTGGAATGGCTTTCCGTGTGCCTACTGTTGATGTCTCAGTGGTTGACCTTACTGTGAGACTTGAGAAGGCTGCT